GCAAAAAACTCATCAAACAGACTTCACTTGGACGCCAGCCTCGTCATCCTCCAAATTGGGGAAAACGACATCCCCACCCCTTCCATTGATCCCTCATCCCCTCCCCCATCCCCATCATTCCCCGGTCAATTGACAGAAAACATCATAAGCTTGGCGGCAGACATTATTGCCTACAATACATCAGTCAACACAGTGGTCATTGGATCGCTGTTTCCTAGGGGCTGGGCTAAGACCCACAAAGCCCTTCACACTTTAGAACAGTCGATTCGTTTTAATTCCACAGTACTTTCCACAAATTTCTTCCTTATGACCCACATCCACCACCTCATTTCCCCCAGCCTCAAATTCCACTTCCGTCAAGGGGTTTTCGATGAGCATTTACAGTTCCATGATGTGTTGGGGGACCCAGTGTATCTTAATACCGACGGGGAGGCCCTCCTCAGAGCCTCATGGGCGGCTTTGGCTTGTAGCCATAAGGTAAAACAGTAAGTATTCAGAGCGGCACCTCTGTCAACTGTACCAGGGAGTCTTAGTTAAGTTTAGTTAATAGTCATTTATTATGGTTTGTTTTGCCCCCCCCATCTTTACCTATGTTTTACTTGTCATTAACCATCTACCTTCACTTGGGGGTGTTTTTTCTTCTTTCTAAATTCTTCACACATTTTGAGTTAAATGTTGTTTTATTAATTTTGTTTTGAATTTATGCGCAGGCTTTTCTTAGGACATTCCTTCCATATTTATTGTACCACATTTCTTTCATATTTATTTTGGCACATTTCTTCCATATTTATTGCAACTTATTTGTTTTAAATAGACAAATTTCACCATGCAACATATTGTGCCACTCGGTGTTACCCCTGGCCCTGGTGAATATCATACTGGTGACCTAAGGGGACATAAAATTGTTAATGTTTTTGGCGATGGAAATTGTCTGTCTCATGCCTTTAGCAAATGCTTAACAGACAGTGAAAATAGTCATAGAGTGGTGAGGAAAAAAATTGTTTGTTATATGAAAACACATAGAGAATCATTTTTTCCTCTAGTTAGTGCTGGCATGGCATCAAACGCTAATATCCAATCCTACTCTTTCATCTTTCCCGTCTCTACTAACCTTTCAGCTTTTCATAATTTCCAACCCGTCTCTTCAGCTTATGGATTAATTCCCAACCCAAATGCCGTGCTACAAGGACAGGTGTCAGTAGCTTGTATGAATCCAATTCCCATATTTCCCATTCCCAATTAAATGCCCTATCCAAATCAAGAACAAACACAGTTAGCAAAACTATCTCACATTTTTATTTCTTGATTTCCAGATTGATTCAATATATAATGTGTGTAGGAGGCGTGGGATAAGTGGCCACTTCACCTTATTTTAAAATCAGGAGTAGATCTAAGCAAAGAACATTTAATAAATGATGCCATAAAAAATGATGAATGAATAATCATCAGGATGGGATTAAGAAAATGAGAGAAGTTGAAGTTTCACAAGTTCTTCAAACATTTATAAACACCTTAGGAAATGTGAAGATTGAATTCAAAATTCAAAATGGCCGTCTTATGTACGATTTCACAATAATTTTTCGATCCCTTCAAAGTATGGCTATATTATACTCAAATTTAAGGAATTTCGGAGTAGATCACAATTATGGTATTATTTTTCAGATTTGTACCTCAGAAAATTCAAAATGGCTGCTTTGAAGGAATTCGCAATTCTAAACTCTAAATTTTTCACTTTTTACCAAAGTAATGAGTATAATTGATTGGAATTCAGTAATTGATATTTTGTTTGTTGGGATTTGCTACTCCACGGAGTTGCCATTATCTAGTTTAATTTTTATTATTTATTTAAGGTGATGGACACTATAAAGTTTGATTACACTGACCAACAAATTTCCTTTCTTCATGCTAATCAAACCACCCCAGTACATGAAGCGCTCCACTTGCCTAAAAAGATGAGAAATAAGATAGAAGGCAAAGTATCACAGGTTCATGTACTATTAACCCATATGTATCATAATCAGCTCCTAATAAGCGACCTGTACCCTGTTTAAGAAAGTTTAAGAAAGATGGAAGAATGACCAAGTTTTGATAATAATAAAAATCAGACAAATCAAAAGCAAGAGGCTAATTTAAGCCCATGTATACAAATGCATCATTTAAAGGTTCTTATATGTGCAAGATCCAGCACCTGCAAGGTCCAATATTTTACTATTTCTACCTTATATTGAGGGCTCATCTTAAAAACATGAATGCACTGTTCAATCCCCTCCCGCCATTCAGTTTAAAATTTTTTCAAATCTTTTTTTTTTTATATAATGTATGGTAATGCATTTTATTTTGTAGGATAAAATTTTCAGGAATGATTCTTAGTATGAAACTCTAGATCAGATTCGTTTTTTGGCATTCTGGGTAAATGTCAAGGCAGCCATTTTGGATTTTCTGTCCTAAAATCTTGTTTGTAAAGTCTTATCTACGCATTTCCAGGTGAACCGTTTGGTAGATCAATTTCAAATTTTCAGGGATGATTCTTAGTATGAAAATCTAGAACAGATTAGTTTTTTGGCATTCTGGATAAATGTGAAGGCAGCCATTTTGGATTTTCTGTCCTCAAATCTTGTCTGCAAAGTCTTGTTTACATGTTTTCTGGTTAACTGTGTGACGGATCAATTTCAAATTTTCAGGGGAGGTTCTTAGTATGAAAATCTAGAAGTGACTAATTTTTGGGCATTCTGGGCTAAAAAGATTAGATCAGTATTCATGGAGTACGTTGAGCGCTACATCAAATGCATGAAGCTCAAGGGCACCATAGAGATTGACGAATCGATGTTTTGGAGTATCGCCAAATACCACAAGGGAAATGTCTTGACTCATAATCATAATCTGCAACTGGCTAGTCACCCTCTCTAGCAAAAAGATCATCTGATAAACCTTAAATTACATGAGCTTGTACACCATTATGAAATGGACTATGAGTGTGGTGTCTCTAAGGGGGATAAAGGCCACATGAACACCCTCCATCAAGGATATGCCCCATTTAAATGCCTGGATAAGAAGACATATTTTTACTTCCGATCTTTGCAAACCTACCAGGTATAGTTTTGTTGTTATTTCTTTATATAAAGGATGAATAATATGCCTCTTTTGTTTGATAAACTTGTACGTGAGACAAAATTGTGCATTTAGTACATAGGGGTTATGCATTTGGAGGTTTTGGATACAGGGAATATCTCAAGAGATAAACAAAATATCTTCCCGAGGGCCTGTAGCAAACTGCTTTCTCCTGTGCCATTCAAGAGATATGCCAAATGTGCAACTGCTGCCTTCTAGCTCTGAAAAACTCCCTTCAAAAAAAGATTGGTAAGCCATTTCTTTACTGATGAGGAACTAATGCTACATAGTGTAATTCTAGACCCCCGTTTGACCAAACAAATGGTGGAAGGGTGTTGAGTCTAGTTGAGAGACATTGTGGGACACAAGGAAAAAATTGAAAACATTCAGAGGGACCTAAGATGGAAAAATAAATTGTAGCATGGACACTCATATTTGTAATTTAAGGGGTCATATACATCTTTCATAGAAACTTAAGTGCATTCAAGTTTCAAGGATGTAATATAAAGCCAATATATTATTTATATTTGTTTATTCTTTAAAAAACAAATCAAAATATACACTTGGGGCCACCCATAAAAGTTTAGAAAATCAATCTGGTACTGGATGACAGTTGAACTCATTTGCAATAATAATTTTCCTTTCTCAAAAACCTGGAAAGTTCAGTGGAATTCCATCTGATACAGGTGTCAAAAATCTAATAAAAGATTGGATGAAGGAATCAGAATGACAAGAAAACAGCCAGCACTTGTTGGACTCTAATTTGCAGGATTTGTAGATTTCCAACAGGATTTATAGATTTCCAACAATGTTTTGATAAAATAAGATTCTTTGTTATTCTACTTGTTTAATATCAGTGGCAGAACGATAATAAAAATCAACACAACAAAATCCTTTCACCAACAGACGTTCCCCGCCGGCTCTCATACCACGTGAGAGTTTTAAAGTGACACTCGGGTTTCCGCTCGGCCCAGACGCCACGTTCCGTCACAATGTAAAAATGTATTGATACCTGATTTAATGCATGACATACTGAAGAAACTCTCCAACAAAGACCTCCAAGATAGTGACTCAGACCTCCAAGATAGTGACTCAGACATCCAAGAAGAGATTGACACAGGTAATTGCATGGAATTTAGAAATGAATATGAATAATGAGACCTGATAACATTTAGGTAGTGGCTAAAAGTGTCTTAATTTCAATATCCTGTTTCTGTTAAACAGGTTCAGCATGAAAACATTTCCATAAATAATAAACTATATATATCTGTGATTTTTTTTTATTGCATTTTTATCGCACTCCTGGATGCTATATTGTGATCAGTTTGCCAGGCAGATGGGTGGCCCTGCAGATTTATAGGGTGTTTAATTTGGGTAAAACTGAGATCCCCCCATCTGCCCATTATAACAGCAAAATCAAGAATGTTTTTCTTATGCTAATTTTGGTATTTCTTAGTTCTGCCAACTATTGATGTACCAAAGGCTAGGAAGACTGAGAAGACTTCAGATGTGTTCGACTTTCATGGTGATGAAAGTGACATCCATGGTGATGAAAGTGATACGGATAGTGAAGGTATTTATACATACATCTGGCATAAAGAGTCAGGGGTTGTTAGGTGAAAAACTTGATCAATAATATTTAGGCATTGGAGAAATCAAGAATTGGTTTCCATTTGAGTAAAGTCTAGAACAGAGATCCAGGACTTTTTTCACCTAACATATAGTAAGCCCAAGCCTATAAATATACGTTAACGTAGAAAAACACCAATGGCATCATTAATGAAATACAAAGTAGAAATAACTTAAATTCATGGAGAATTATAAAGAAAATCATGTTTTGAAACATATTTGATGTTTTTGTGCTCTCAGAAGAAGGATAAGATGTTGAGGTTTAATAATATAGTGTGATTGGGTCGGTTTTTCAGACATTATAATTTTCAATATTTTCTAAGTTGATATCCGGACTCATTCCTTGACTCATCCTTTAACCAGCTCATTTCCTTCTAAGGGGTTAGAGTCACAATCACTCTAAAACATGCCTCGTTCAATTTTAAGAAAATTCAGAAAGTTTCTAACCATCAAAGGGTTTAAGTACAGTAAAACTTGTGTATCGTGAACATTTTTGCCGAGAAAAAACATTCACCATTGGTAGGTGTTCACAGCAGTCAATGGATTGCGCCCAGTATTGATCAACCATATGATATATCATCAAGATAATGCTCCATCACACAGGGCCCGTGAGGTAACTGATATATTAGCAGCTCTAAACATTGAAAAATTTGATCATGCACCATACAGTCCAGACCTTGCATTGTGCGACTTTGAAATTTTCGGCAAACTGAAGAATGAGCTACGCGGGCAGAGGTTTGGTGACCGTGAAGAAGTGGTTGAGGCCGTCCATAAGGCCCTAAAAGACCTATATGGAAATGGAAACAGACTGCAACGGGCCTATCAAGACTGGCTTTT